CTTCTACCAACATTCTACCAACAACCTAGTAGATCTGGATAGTCCATATTAGTAAATTCTACCAACAACCTAGTAGATCTGGATACATGTTTTATATCATGTATAAATGCAGCACTAAGCACAATTTCTAAATGTAAACAACGACTTCAAAGGGTTGGTTCTGTCCAGCAAATAGCCTGCTCCACGCCATTGGCAAAACATTTGCACGGAAAAGCTAACAACTACCAGGGCTGACGTAGCGCCAAAGTGTCCCGGGAAGACAAACTATGGCAAATTCACTGTGACTCTAACACCACAGCGTTTATTTGTAAACATGAAAACCGGTAACATCACTCATATGATCAAAAATGCAGTTAAAGTGAAAGATAAATCAAACTTTAGTCTGTGTCCAGGTGACATCGTTAGTTCTCCAACAAATAGACGGCACCATCTGATCGCAGCTAACAGCTAGCTGCGATACCATTACCCGGTCTAAGGTCAGGTTGGTGTAGGTTTCTGCGTGTCGCAAGAGAAGTTAAAAAATGACGTAAATAAATCGAACTCACCTCACAAAAACAATATCGTCTCTTCATACATCAGCAAAATCCAAACAAGCACGCGGCTTCCCCAAATGCTGCTGACGGACGCTTCATTTTGTGCACCGGACTAATGCTGCGGCTTAGCCGGCTGGAGGGAGGGAGAGTGGGGGAAGTGCACGTCGGCGGAAGGCAGGCTGGACGGTGCTCCTGATAGCTTAGCTTTCCAGATAGAAGGATACTGCTGCAACCAACCAACAGTCCGAGGAAATCTATTAAGACCCAAGCTGAGTATTTAACCCGCCCCGGTTAGAGTCTCGCAGCTTCCTACAGTGAATACAATCGCTGCCTTGCCTGCCTTCTGGATGTAGCTTTCCCGATGCTAACATAAACTAGCATCTGTTCTGGAATCTGACGCTGGCGAGGTCGTCTAAGCTGCTGCAAGTTTACACCAAAATAAACAGTCCGGAAATTATAACCAATGGAGTTTCATGCGTCCGATATGTATATACATATACATCTCCCTCAATTTCGGGTCGATATCAGGCGCTCATGTAACCCACATTTGCATTCTAACTTTCCACTGGGGAACCTGGGTTCGGGTCAATAGCATCTTTACTGGGCTAAAACTGCGCTGCGTCTGTTCCGCTGAACGAACGACTAGCCAGTAGCTAACAGCAGTGGCTAATAAGGAGAACTACGTCAAAATTAATTCATGCAAACGAACAAGGAATATGTGTTTGTTTTGTTTCAACAGTGTACAGGTTAGGTCTGAACACCTGGAGTTTCCCACTGAATAGCCTTGTACGTGGTTGCTCCTTTCCACTGACATTAGAAGGGGATTTTGAATGTGTGGAGAGTGTGGGCCAAATGTAATATGGTGGATATTAGATATTGGGTCATTAGAGTTTACGGATCCAGGGTAGCCATTTTTCATTACATCGGCGTGGCTGTCAGACCAAAAGCGGTGGTGACATATCGAGCCGATGAAAACGGTTCTGATGCACCTTTTTTCTAAATAATAATAGCATTTTAACATCACAGTGTGCACATGCTACAAATACGTTTCGCAATTAGAGTGTTAAACAAGGTGTTGACTAATCGTGTTTTTAAATTCATACATAACTGCGTGCTTGTAAATAACCGGAGAGAAAAGTCCCTGATCAGAAACGAACCCCGGTCTCACAAGTTCACCCGCAACTACCCAAAAATAAGTCGGTCAACGTGACGTCAAGTAAACATTTTCACACGTTTTAAGGTGTTTGCACTGTTGTTTCACTCACATATATACGTGGATTTGTCCGAAGTAACAGATTCACCAACAAATGCACTTCAATGCGCATTGAATGTCTTTGTGCACAATGTCACTATCACAAACATAAAACCAACAAAACAAAAAGTAAAAAATAAAAAAGGTGACTGAAATGTTAAAAGGAAATTTAACAACTGACTTATATAAATACAATTAAAAATCACAAAGATATAGCAGCAGAAATTGAACAACAAAATGGACTATTTATGCCTATCAAGCTGATAAAGCAAGGTAGTATTAATTATGTTTTTTACGTTTCTATAAGTCTTAATTAGTAGATTACAAGTGTATAAGTATTAAATCGGAAATATTTACATAATTAAAATCTATAGGGAATGTAGACCTTAGTGTTAACAGAAGTATTTGTAATCATAAAATGTAAACAGGGCTTGAAATTATCATTAGAGCAAAATTATACATTTCTATTTTTTTATTGGTCTAACAAGCTGCAGTTTTAGGACAGTTTCAAAATCTTCCAACCAAATGTCATAACTTCTCGAGCCACTCTGTGAACCAATGACCAGGGGCAGTACAGATTAGCTGTCAATGAAATTATAAACTCATATGAAATTAGATTAGCTCACAGTTTGTCCCATAATGGGACTTTATGAAAAGGTCACAGCTCCTGGCCACACCAGCTCCAATCTATCATGTCCAAGAGAACCAAACTGGACTCTTTGACCCAGAAGGAGAGAATCTACTGTGTCATGTTTAGCATTAATGTATACCATGTACTACAGAGTTTGGCTTTGTTTCTATATATGCAAAAGGTTATTACCTCAATAGCTGGCAGTATTACAGTAAAAGGGTGGGGTTTTCAAGAAGCACATGAGGGAAAAGGGTATGATGTTGTAAGATCAAGATTTTTTCCCCCCACAATTAACCTTGCTTGTCCCTGTAAAGCACTAAGTGGTTGTATAAGATGTACTATTTACTTTTAGTATCACTATATACAGGTCACAGTCACACACTGTCACCAATGAAGAGGGGGACCAGCCAAAACTGGTTTTTCCTTTATGGAAGTATTTAACTATTCATAACCCGCAAAAAGACTACTGAATTCCACAGCCTATAGTGCTGTAATGTGTGCCACACAATAAATTCAGTGACCCAATTCTCACCACACAGAACCCCCCAAAAACTGTCCAACAAAGCACTCTTCCTCTCAAGTGTTTCATAGTATGACTGTTAATTACTATGTGATTCTAGTCATCGATTCGACATCACAAAAATTTGTCAGTTTTGTGTAGACCTGTGTTGTTTGTGCATGTTCTCATTTTGAAAATAGGTTATTACTGGTCCCCTTGACAGGATTAGTTAACTCCCATTCAGCTTTAGCCAGATTGGATTAGATTTTGGGGGGCTGAGTCCAGTTGAAGCACAGTAACTGATTGGCCGTTGAATGTCAGTAGAGGATGGTATTAGGACACTGTGCTTCTCCCATTGGCCAGTCAACAGAGCCCATCTGCCTCCAGTATCTCAGGGATAATCCTCTACGATACGTCCACAGATGTTTATAACAGCATACAATGGTGGAAGACACTGCATTGTTCAATTTTGACTTTGACATAAAAACTCAGGAGGGAAAAAGTGAAGAATATCTGAATATATATTATATATGAATATCTGTTGTTTGCATTTTTTATTATTACCTTTAACCGTTGGTTTTGATAATGTGGAATTGAGTGCTGTGTTCTAATTAGTATCAGTGTTATAAATTGCATTTTAATCATAATCTCTGGGCATATAGCGGATAGATTTTTAAAAATATGTTTTATGTATGGAAAATCTGAAACAATGGAAATGGGATCATACATCTGATACACCACAAGGGGGTGTATAACCTTGGGGTATACAGTAAGTCTAAGCTGACAGTAAATCCAATTCCAAAAATTGTTTTATATAAACTACGAATTTAAAAAAAGATCATTACTAGCTAACTGTGAATTACATACTAGAGTTAATAATAGTTGCTATAAAATTGGAGTATTTAGGAATCAGTAACCAGTCTAAATCTGTACATATTACAGCATTATATGTATATAAGATTCTGACTAATGCAAGGAGTTTCAAAATGATTCTGAGGTTGAATTAAAACGGTCACCTTTAACATCCTGAAAAAACCCTGATGACTCCGTTTGGTACGTGATAAAGTCTGAGTCAAGTTGCTGGAACAGCGTGAGGAATATTAAGTATGTCTGGGCTTTTTATTAACCAGTTCCTTAGACTGCATAATGACCCAGAGAAACTGAACCCTGTAACATACATTATACACAACCAAAAGCACTGGAACGAATTTTCTTTGGATCTAAAGAAAATGGGCCTAATGTTTGATAAAATGTCACTTTAATTTGTTCTTATGATAGGGATACATGTGAGGACATACGGTACATGTAGTGGAATAATTATAATCTATTAAACATTTATATATTATGATTCAGAAGGTAAAAAAATAAAGAATCTATTGTGGATGGACTAAATCTGCTCCCATCCTTTCACTAATTGCATACACATATTGTACATACAGTACATAAGTGTGTCTGTGAAAACAAATACATAATGGTACAGTTCTACACTCTTTACATCTGCCCTTCAAGATTATCTCTGTATATATGTAAGCATATATACACCGTATCTATACCACTGTAATAGGAACCAGTGTTTTCCAAATTATGGATCGTGTCCCAAAATAATGCCCAGAGGACCAAGTAATACCAGTTTTGTCCACAGGAAGTCAAGGTTTTCTGGCCCATCAAATCACCATTATTATTTTCTAAATTGCTGAATAATGTAAGCCTGACAATTTCTGTCCAAATTCTTTTTACAAGAATTCTTCTGATAATCACTTACACACATTGCCTAACACTTCTTCAACTTTAGGTTTAATCAGCAGCAGGTATCTGCAACCTACCATCTCTTTTTTATATGGTAAACATTACCATCAGGGTACACCCTGTCTACCTGGAAATGAAAGGGGAAAAGAGAAAACACAGGTCAGGGCAGATGAACACACCACCAGACACGTTTTCTGGCCCATCATATCACCATTATTATTTTCTAAATTGCT